CTATCTCTCCCTCTCTATCCCACTATCTCTCCATCCCTCTCTACCTCGCCATCCCCCTCACTATCTCTTTCTCTCTCTATGTCTCCCTCTTACTATCTCCCTCCCTTTCTCACTCTCTTTCAATTTCTCTCTCTCCATCCATCCTTCTTATGACCTCCATCCCCCTCTCTCTCTATCCACCCTTCTCACTATCTCCATTCCTTCCTCTTCATCCCTTTCTCAAGCTATGCATCCTGCTTGGTATCTGCATCTTTCTCTCTCTCTCCCTCCATCGCCCTCCTGCATCCTGTGTCCCACCAAGAGAGAGACATAGAGAGAGTTGAGAGGTAGGGAGATAGAAAGAGGAAGGTAGGGAGACAGAAAGACACAAAGAGAGAGAGAGACAGAGCTAGAGTCAGAGAAATACGAACAGAGGGAGAGAGACAGAGAGACATAGAGAAAAAGAGAGAGAGACAGAGAGAGAGTTGAGAGGTAGGAGAGAGAAGGAGAGAAGGAGAGAGATAGACAGACAGAGAGACACAGAGAGACAAAGAGAGACAGACATAGAGAGAGCTGAGCGGTAGGGAGAGAGAAAGAGGGAGATAAAGAGACAGACAGGGAGAGAGACACACACAGAGAGAAAGCTAGAGAGACAGAGAGAGAAAGAGAGAGACAGTTGAGAGGTAGGGAGAGAGGAGTGAGATAGAGAGACAGAAAGACACAGAGAGAGAGACAGAGAGAGCTAGAGTCAGAGTGTCAGAGAAATACAAACAGAGGGAGAGAGAGAGACAGAGAGAGAGACATAGAGTGAGCTGAGAGGTAGGGAGTGAGAAGGAGGGAGAAAAAGAGATAGACAGGGAGAGAGAGACACACAGAAAGAAAGCTATAGGGACAGACAGAGAGAAAGAGTTGACAGGTAGGGAAAGAGAAAGAGGGAGATAGGGAGACAGGGGGAGAGAGAGACCCTCAGAGAGACAGACAGTGTCCCTCTCTCTCTGAGGGACTTTCTCTCTGTCTCTTTATCTCCCTCTTTATGAACAGAGGGGGAGAGGGGGGGAGAGAGAGAGAGAGAAAGTTGAGATGTAGGGAGCGAGAAAGAGAGAGACAGAGAGACAGACACAAAGAGTGAGAGAGAGCTCTGAGAGGTAGGGAGAGAGAAGGAGAGAGAGATAGACAGACAGACACAGACAGAGAGAGGGACAGAGTGTCAGAGAAATATGAAGAGGGAGGGAGAGAGAGAGAGAGAGATGAGAGGTAGGGAGAGAGAAAGAGGGAGATAGAGAGACAGACAGGGAGAGAGACACACAGAGAAAGTTGAGAGCTACAGAGAGAGGTAGAGGGAGATGGAGAGACAGAGATATGGGAGAGAGACAGAAAGAGAGAGAGGTAGAGTGTCAGAGAGATACAAAGAGAGAGACAGATGGAGAGATATATGTGTATATACATATATAGACAGAAAGTGTCAGAGAGATAGAAAGAGTGAGAGAGAGACAGATGGAGAAATATATGTATATATAGAGAGAGAAAACAGTGTCAGAAATAGAAAGAGAGAGAGAGACAGATGGAGAGATATATGTATATATAGAGAGAGAGAGAGACCGTGTCAGAGAGATAGAAAAAGAAAGAGATACATGTGTATATATAGAGAAAGAGAGTGTCAGAGAGGTACAAAGAGAGAGAGAAAGACAGATGGATATATATATATATATATATATACACATAGAGAGAGAGTGTCAGAGAGATACAAAGAGAGAGAGAGACAGATGGAGAGATATATGGGTATATATAGAGAGTGAGTGTGTCAGGGAGATAGAAAGAGAGAGAGGGACAGATGGAGAGTCGAGAGAGAGAGACAGAGGGAGAGATGTATACGTAGAGAGTGAGACAGAGAGAGAGTCAGATGGAGAGTTGAGAGAGATGTACACGTAGAGAGTGTGTGAGAGAGAGAGAGAGAGAGACAGATGGAGAGTTGAGAGAGATGTATACATAGAGAGTGAGAGAGAGAGACAGAGAGAGATGTATACGTAGAGAGTGAGAGAGAGAGAGAGTCAGATGGAGAGTTGAGAGAGATGTACGCGTAGACAGTGAGACAGAGAGAGAGACAGATGGAGAGTTGAGAGAGATGTACATGTAGGGAGTGAGAGAGACAGATGGAGAATTGAGAGAGATATACACGTAGGGAATGAGAGAGAGACAGATGGAGAGTTCAGAGAGATGTACACGTAGAGAGTGAGACAGAGAGAGACAGATGGAGAGTTGAGAGAGATGTACACGTAGA